AGCAGCCACACGTCACTCGCGTGATTCTCCACCCCTCTCTCCCTTGCCTTAGGCGTAAAATACACAGAAGCGATTAAAAATTCGGATATGATGCGGATGAGAGATGGATACGGCACCGAAGAGACTTAAATCTATATATATAAAAATGAAACCCGTTTTCCGTTGTCACGACATAACATGAAAACGTCTTGACCAATTTGGCTGTTTTTTTTTTAGAATATTCCATGAAGTACAAGGATTGTTCTTACGAAGAGAAAAATTAAAAACAATGCCTGAAAATGTCAAAAAACTAAACTTTTCTTTACTCCCATACAAACGATTCGTAATAATACTTAAAAGTCAATTTGAACTTTAATACCATACCATAAATTTCAAATGTTAGTGGAGAGATTCTGGGAAGGCAAAACAATTGAGCGACGTGATGTCAATAGAAGTTTGGAAAAGATAAATATACCATCTTCAGTTTTTTTTATAATCTATATATATAGCAATCTATCTATATAGTAGCAATGAAAGCAATAAGCATCGGCCTGTTCTTGTTAAGTTTTCGCAATATGAATTGAAATCTGCAGTCTGGAAGGCGAAGAAGAGCTTGAAGGGGACGAACATCTCAGTGAAAGAGTTTCTAACCAAGTCAAGGCAAGCAATCTTCAACAATGCTCGGCTGCATTTTGGTGTCCGGTCTTGCTGGACTCAGGATGGCGTCATTCATGTCAAGTCTTCTGATAGTAGGCGTCATAAGGTGGTGCTTAAAGAGGATTTGGACGTCCTGGTTAGTAAATACCCAAAAGGTTCCTCGACTGCTGTGCGACCAGGAACTGCAAATGAAAACAAGTAGTAACTTTATTTTCTTTGTACCTATACAATTTGCTTTTTCATTGCTACCTTTATAGACAACATTTTGCTTCTTATAAAATTTCATTAATTATTACTTACCATAGAAATAAATGTGATCCTTTAAAGTCGCAATAGCTAATTCGTTGTTTTTGGCTTTCTTATACTGCATGCTGTTGATAGACACAGAATATCCAGTTTGCGTTTATAATTTGTTTTTTATATTTTTTTTACTTTAAGGTAATCTGGTAAGTAATTTGCTTTCCTCTCACAATTTGGTTTTGTTTGTTTGTGTCGATGAAATGTCACTGTCATCTTGTCAATGTCATTTTTTTTCTCTCAAATTAGTTCTTCTGCACGAAAGCAAAGAAACCTGTATTCATACAGCCATATATTATTTCATTTTGTGTCTGTAACTAAATTTTATAACTCATCTTCGCTTGATAAGTTTGAATATTACGCATTCATTTATTATTATTAAGATATGCAATTGTTAATTGTAATTGTGATTATTATGTGTTTTTTTATGTTTTCCTTGTAACCAGATAATGTAAGCTGGCGGGTGGTGTGGATATTTTGGTGCTTTTTCGTTTTGTTTTTGCATTAATTTGTTCACTTTTTGTATCTTTATTTGTATATATATATATATATAAATTTGTTTATTAATATTTATGTAGTATATGATATCAGACGACGAATTCTTATCTGCTGATGACGAATCTGCAGACACTTCTATTAATGAAAGCTTCTGTTCAGCTACCGACACACTTGGTGATTTTTTGCATCGAACTCTTGACCAATCTCCAGGTCTATTGAATATATGTCACATCAATGCTCAAAGTTTACCCAGTCATTATGACGAGTTGCTTGATGTGTTCTCTGGGCGAAATGTACACGCTATACTAATTTCCGAATCTTGGTTAAAACCACATCTTCTATCTCCCACTTATTCTCTCCCTGGTTTTACCTTAATTCGGAATGATCGTTGTGGCCGTGGCGGAGGTGGTGTCGCTATCTACCTACGTAGTACATTTTTGTATAAACTAAAAAATTCCTCCAACTCTGACTCCAATTCGGAATATATTTTTCTGGAGATTGGGACAGGTCGTGCTAAAGCAGTTATTGGTGTAGTTTATTGTCCCCCCACAGTCGATTATTTCACCGAACTTGAAGAGGTTCTAGAATCTTTAGGGTCTGAATATGCACATATTATCATCATGGGTGATTTTAATACCAATCTCCTCGCTCCCGAATCCTCACGTTCCCGAAAACTCCTTCATATTGTCCAGTCCGCAAGCCTACATATTTTACCCCTTCAACCAACTCACCAAAACTCTTGTGGTGATGATACATGGCTGGATTTAATCCTCACCTCTAATCCCTCTCTCGTCACATCACATGGTCAACATATCGCTCCTGGCTTCTCTCATCATGACCTCATCTTCCTTTCCTATCGGTTTAAGCCTCCCAAATTCCCTCCCAAGGTTTTGCACAGGCGCTCATTCGCGCGTATGGACTTAGACAAATTACTAAAGGATGTCTCAGGGATCAATTGGGACCCTATGTTTCAAGCTTCGGATGTCAACGAAAAGCTAAAAATATTTAACAATACCCTGTTGAACATTTACGATGTCCACGCGCCCATCAGAAAAGTGAAGCTAAAGCGTGAACCAGCTCCTTGGATGACAGCAGGTATTCAGATGGCGATGAGACGTAGAAATCGTACTTATCGCAGTTATAGAAAGGATCGCTCTGACGAAAAGTGGAAACTCTTCAAGGCTGCTAGAAATCGGTGTAATCAGATGATACGTAACGCCAAACGCCGATATATTCTCAACAATCTTTCTTCCTCATCTTCTGCAGATATCTGGAAGTTCCTTGGAACACTAGGTATCGGCAAATCGCGACATTTAGACCTACCTAATTCAATAAACTTAAACGACCTCAATTCTCATTTCACCACAACTTTTAACTTGGATCGTGATTCTACAGCAAGCACTGTTGCTTCCATAAATGGTTTAACGCGTCCTAACGTCGACCCCTTCCATTTTTCACCAGTCACATCGACAGAGATTAAAAAGATAATACTTTCCATTAAGTCAAATGCGATAGGGTGTGATGATATTAGTCGTCACATGATCATTACTATTCTTGACCCTCTTCTTTCTGCTATAACGCATTTAATGAATTCTTCTCTTGAAACCAGCACTTTTCCTATGCTATGGCGAAAAGCTTATGTACGGCCTCTTCCCAAAGTTTCTAATCCAACACAGCCACATGAATTTCGGCCGATTTCTATCCTCCCCTTCATGTCAAAAGTGCTAGAGGCCTGCGTTCACAAGCAATTATCTCAATATGTCCACAAAAATTCATTGATGAACCCCCTTCAATCCGGATTTAGGTCAGGACATAGCACAATTTCAGCGCTCTTAAAGGTGACTGGCGATATTAGGGCGGGAATGGAAAACGGTAAAGTAACATGTTTAGTACTTATCGATTTCTCCAATGCTTTTAATACTGTCAGTCACGATATTCTCCTTTCTATACTATCCCATCTTATGGTCTCTGACGATGTGTTGACTTGGTTCTCTTCTTATCTTCGGGACCGCCGGCAGTTGGTCCGGTCTGGGGAATATTCCTCGTCCTGGCGCAACCTTGAAACTGGTGTTCCCCAAGGCGGTATTCTCTCTCCTCTTCTTTTTTCAACTTTTATTGATTTTATCACTCACAATCTTCAGTGTTCGTATCATCTATATGCTGACGACTTACAATTATATACTGAAGCAAGCATCGACAATTTAAACAAAGCCATTGATGCTCTAAACAGTGACTTAGTCGCTATTAAAACCTGGTCGGAAAAATTTGGGGTCACTGTCAATGCTTCAAAATGCCAAGCCATTTTACTAGGGGGGTCAAGGATGATGAGCAAAATTGACATCAACAGTCTTGGTTCCATTATTCATGACGGTACTACAATACCTTTTAGCAACGTCGTTAAAGATCTGGGCTTGTATATCGACTCGAGTTTTAAATGGCAGGACCAAGTTGGTAGTGTCTGTAAAAAAGTAACGGGAACCCTGCGTGCCCTTTATCGAATGAAAAATTTTTTGCCGGTCAATATCAAGGCAATGCTTGTGCAAACCTTAATATTTCCCATAATTGACTATGGTGATTTGTGCTACCTCGACCTGAATGCAGATCTACTCAACAAACTTGATCGCCTTCAGAATAACTGCATTCGATTCGTTTTCAATCTGAGAAAATATGACCATGTGTCCGCATACCGATCTCTCTTAAAATGGATGCCCATTAGGCAGCGCAGAAGTATGCGGGCTCTGACAACCCTGTTCTCTTTGCTGGATTCTCCAAATGCTCCCCCTTATCTCACTTCTCAATTTCAGTATTTATGTACCTCTCATAGTAAAAATCTTCGATCTTCTTCTAATCGTTTACTTATCGTTCCATCACACTGCTCCGATATTATTCACTCTTCCTTCTTCGTAAAAACGATACTTTTGTGGAATGATCTCCCGCTAGATATCAGAATATCCCCCAGTAAATATACCTTTAAAACCAAACTGCGAAGCTTTTTATTAGATCAGGCGTTTCGTTGAGTGGTTTGTCGTCATTATTTTGTATTTATTTTGGAAATATGTATGTATTTGTGTATTTATTTAAATATATTAACTTATGTATGTGTACGTTTATATATTATTATTTATATTTATTATTTTTATAAACTTCAATGTGATCTCCACTTCAGTTGTGCACCCTACCACTAATAATATCCACAACATCCTATGGTTGACTGGTAGAGAATGCCTACGGCATTAAGTCCGCCATTGTACATTTGTGCATAAAGAATAAATAAATAAATAAATAAATAAATAAATAAATAAATAAATAAATAAAACTCAAAGGTGACTGACTGACGTAGTAAACTATCAACGCCCAGCCCAAAACACTGGACGGATCGGGCTGAAATTTGGCATGCAGGTAGATGTTATGACGTAGGCATCCGCTAAGAAAATATTTTGATCAATTCTACCCCCAAGGGGATAAAATAGGGAATGAAAGGTTGTATGAAACTTTGTCAATTTTAAAACCGAACGGGCTGAGACTTTGTATGCAGGTATAAGAATAATCATAGATGAATGTCATTGTGTATAAAACAAGCCTGAGAACAAAAACTGTAGTCTACGCTTCAGCTCTACACCGAAGCGAAGCGAGGGCGGGCCGCTAGTTACATATAAAAGGCAAAGATCTGCTTAAGATCGTTATTATACAGGCTGACTTTGTTGCAAAACATGACCTCTTCAGAAGACGAAGACGCGTTTGCTGTGCTCCAATTTATGAATATACAAAATGTGCATAGACAAAGGTCTTATTGGGTGCATCCTGTATGGTGTTTGTCACAAGAACATAGATATATTTTCAGATAGTGGAAAAATTATATGAATATCCAGATATCCGTTTTCCTGAAGTATACAAAATGTCTTTAGAATGTTTCCATATTATATTGAATACGGTAAAACAGGGTCTTCAGAAGAAACATACTTATTGGAGAGAACCAGTCTGTCCCGAGGAAAAACTACTGATAACACTAAGGTTAGTAAAATTAAAACACGTTTCGTATTTGTTTGATTCTTTTGGCTTTATTTCTTTTCAATGTAAAAGTTACAAATTTAGTTTTGTTTGTTTTATGATTAATTAATAAGAAGAAATGCAAACAAACTTGTATTGGTACTGTATAACAAGCGATACGTGCTCTTCGCACGGCGGTCGGTCGCAACTGTAAGCGAGGTGGCGCGGATTCTCAAGTGATAAATCAGCGCCGCATCCTTTCTGTGTAATTTACGACGAATCTTTTTCATACATTTTGTACGAATATAATTTGAAGCGACAGCAAATCCGATCCATATCCACATCGTAACCGAATCTTTCATCGCTTCTGTGTATTTTACGCCTTAGTCGGCCGCTGTCGCGCGCTTTAGCCACTTTAGTAACCGCTTCTAGCTTTTCGTGGCGACTTTTTGTCGTTTGTGGCTGTGGCGAGTGGCCCGTGTGCGGCGACACTAATAAACATATTTTTTATCAATCACGACAAATGATTGTGAATTTTATAATACTTGTTATTATTCAAATTCCAAATGAATAAGTGATACCATCGAACAATAAAATGTCCCTAATTAAAAATAAATTATAAAAAACCAGGTACCGTCTGCGACGTCGCCCGCGTTATCTTTAGTTTTTAGAGAATCCCTCAGGAACCTAACATTTTTCCGGGATAAAAGTACGATATGTCTTAATCCAAGCCATAAAGTATATGCGTACCATATTTCATCCAAATCCGTTCAGTAGTTTTTTCGACATTGAGTAACAAACATACAACCTACAAAATTATAATACTAGTAGGATAATTATGAAAAATAATTGAGGCAAGCTCTAGTCATGTTAATATTAAAACATAATATAAAAAAAATATTTTTCATGAAAACAAATTGTTTAGTATTTTTTTTACAATTCGTACGTAGTAAGTAAATAATTCAATACCAAGAACACAATTTACAGATTGTGTGTGTGTTTTTTTGTCTATTAGTATGAATCTTTTAAATTTTTCACGCTATAACCTGAAACTGAATTTGAAAGCAATAAATAAAATACAAAAAGGCTTTACGTAACTACTACTATGCCCATTTTTACACTGTATCCAGCAATTATATAAAATGTTTTATATTTTTTTTGGTGTAAAATAAAAAATAATATAATTATTATTACTGTCAAATTCTGTTTCAGGTTCTGGGCGTAGAAAATTTTATACATACAATTTCGTTGGTTTTGGGATCACTGGCACTTAAACTACTTAGTAAATATACTAAACATAGTTATTCTTATAGATAGATTCCACAACCCACCTTAATGATACGACACTGGTATTGCAGTTTTACCTTCCACGCTAGCTTAACGTCAATATGCTTCTTCACACTTCTTTCAAATGACCCCTGGTTGTAGAAAGGAGGTAAACAAGTTTCAACGTTCTCATAATATGGAATAAAATGTGGACAGTGAGTTCATGTAGATTTACTAAACCATAAATCTAATTCTCATATCGACACCGCCGAGTTGTTACTTTGCCGGTTTATGGCTTATGCTTGTAAACAAAAATAAACAACATTATAATTTTATTTTTTTAAGAATGTTACGTTAAGTTCATTATGGTCAGTGCATTCGCTCGGATAGCAAAAAGGTACGGGTTTCTAGTCCTGTCTGCTGCCTGTTTCTGGATATTAACATTTTTTGGATATTAACATTTTTTTTATAATTCAATACAAAACATAATATAGAGATTATCTGGAATGTGTTTTTTTTCTAGTATGAACCTTAACTTATTCGAAGGCAGTCTCTCGGCAAAGTGCGGTCTACGGTTGCCTGGAAGAAATTGCTTCTTAGCGATAAGGCCGCCGTTTGTACTATAATGCAATAGTCTTAATTAATTGCATTTTAAAATTTCCTGGTGTATAATTTAGTGTTCATTCATTCAAAGTGAGTAATATAAGTTTACACCTGTTAATTTTGTTTAGGTATTAAATTGTATATGTTACCGGCCAAACCCGATTTCAGGACAAACTAGTTTTGCCTAGGCTAAACTGGTTCTTCCTATGCGCGATAGGATTAACTAGTATAGCCTAGTCCAAACTAATTTGTCCTAAGCCCGATAGGATAAACCAGTTTAGCCTAGGCCAAACTAGTTGATCCTGATAAAAATACGCATACTCTAGGATAAACTAGTATGGCCTAGTGCCATTATAGTATATCTAGAAAGTCAAAATAAATAGATAAACTGAATAAAATAATCCGTAATTGGAAAAATAATATTTTTTATTAAAACCATAATGATTCATCGTTACAAGTTATGGATAATTAGTAATACAAAGAAAAGTAAGAAAAGTTTAATTTTTCTAGTAAACTTTTCTTTAGATTTAAACACCTAGCAGTTAAATGCTTAAAAATAAATAAAAACAATAACTATAATTGCTATTTCTTCTTTCAAATGTTTAATACTTGAAAAAGTATTCATTTGACATTGTGGGTTGCGTGGTTGCAACCTACAATGCGAAGAGATGGCGCTGCCTCGCAGCTTAAGGCTAGGAAAATTTCGACGCGGTGAATAGGGCCGTGGTAGCATAATGGTCAGTGCATTCGCCCGGATTGCGAAGGGTGCGGGTTCGAGTCCGGTCCGCTGCCTGGTCCGCGTGGTTTTTTTTTTCTAGTAAACTTTTCTTAAAATATTTTGAGTTTACAGTGAGATGAATTGTAAAAGGTTCGAATGATTCGGAATTTCTTAAGCCGGGTAGTTACTCATTGGCGAGCTGTAACCATAACCGTTGCACGCACTGTAACCAAAAAGCATAGTGTGTACGTGGTTCGATAACCTGCTGCGAGAACGGTACGCGTGCGGTTTGAAGCGAGCCAACGTTCACAACTGAGCTACTAGCGTACACACTAGAACTTCGTACTGTATCACGCATGTTACGGTAACAGATCGCTAATGCGTACCCGGCTTTACTGTCTTCCGAACTCCCGGCAACAACAAAAGAGTTAAACAAAAACCAATTACAGAAAAAACACTCCCTCCACTTTCTTCCAGCGTTCTTTTTACATGACGCGCCCTGTACAAGTCCTGACATGTCTGTTCAATTACTTTCCGCTTTGCTAAATTGGTTTAGACTAGGTCGTACTAGTTTATCCTAGAGTGTGCGTATTTATATCAGGATCATCTAGTTTGGCCTAGGCTAAACTGGTTTATCCTGTCGCGCTTAGGATAAATTAGTTTGGACTAGGCTATACTAGTTAATCCTATCGCGTATAGGAAGAACCAGTTTAGCCTAGGCAAAACTAGATTGTCCTGAAATCGGGTTTGGCCGGTAACATATATAATATATTATATACTCCCAGACACATCTATCGGCCCACCCAGCATTTTAAGTTTTGATTTGACGGGCTCTAGCAAATATTAAAGTTACATTAAGCAAAAAGTTTTTACGCAGTTTTGAAGCTGATTTATTAACCATCTATTTCGTATGTTTTTTTTTAAATATATTATTATTGCTCAGCCTAACATATATTTTTGCTACTGACCGATAAAACTTAAGTGGGCCGATAGATGTGTCTGGGAGTGTATATGTGTATGGTGTATGTATGTATATACTAATATATTATACATTTTACTAGCCATTTACAATGCCGTCTCTCCCACTTCCTTCTAATTCTCTCGATCGAAAGGTTGCCTGGAAGAGATCGCTTTAAGCGATAAGACCGCCCATTGCATCACGTGTACTAGATTGTTTTGTACAATGTTATTTTTTTTTGTGGTGTACAATAAAGAGTTTTTGTGTTGTATTATATTGTAAAGAATCAAGACTGCATAATTATTATATAAAATGAAAGAAATAAAAACTAACAGAAATGGGAGAAAATTTCATAAGGAAGTTATCAATTGAAACAAAGTCATTTAGGTACCTACAAATACCGTCCGCAGCTGGTTACAAAGTATACCTATAGCAAGCAAAATGCACTCTTCCCATGCTCCGTGGTATAGTATTCTCTGTGGTCTGTTCATAAAATTATAGTTTTAATTAAAACATTATTTCACAATTAAAAGTATTATTCAAAAGTTGTTTAGTCTGCTTTAGGTAGGTACATAAAATGAAATCAATATAAGTTGCCAAAATGAAGGAGCAATTACTTATATTAAAAATATAATTAAAAATCATTCAACACAGTCATTAAAAAAGGTTTTTCGAGTTTCTTTCCCATTCACACGAACAACAAAGAGATAGTAAAAAACTTTGATTATAAACACGCCTAGATATGCAATCCAAATATACCAAGAAAACGGCTTATCTTGCACTCAATGTGTACGATCTGACATTAGAGACACGCATGTCTCTAATGTCAGAATGTTTTAAAGCAGTCAATGTGTGCGTGTTTAGCCAGAAGCATATCTACATAGCATATCATATATAGTAGATATTTTTTGGCCCGCTTCCGTGCAGTTAATATGGTATTCAGGCGTTTATATAATGAAATGTAGGAAACTACTACACTGAAATTTGACTAGACAAACCACAATCTAATCTAAATCTAATCAGGCAATGTAAATCTTGACAATAAACAATGGAATTTATTATCGAGCAGTTCCGATGTAAGCACTGCAGTTTGGACAGTAGTGATCTATGCTCTGGCACGAGTCGACGCAGTATGGAACGCATACGCAGGGCCACAGGCTGTAAATAAAAAAATACTGTTATAAAAAACCAATTCTACGCAAGATAAAGGCAAAAAATTATTAATCATCTAAAAATTACTTAAATTAATTTCAAAACGTAATCATGTTTAATTTTAATTATATTTCTATCGACTTCAAACATTTGTAAAGATGAGTGACGTTGAAAAGTGAATTCAATTTAATTTTAATTTCAGTCTTGCGTAAGCGGAATAAAGTTTATTTTTTAGAGCTCTTAAACATTCTTTAGAGCTTTAAATCTAGCAAGTGACCACTTGCAGCTATTTAGCTAAATCTCAATTTAACTAAAACTGAACCTTAATGATTTAGGCCCACTTGCAGCAAATTTGTTCAATGACAATTTGTCATTTTTATATGGATTATAATATCATATACATATATATACAGGCATATACACATATAAACAGGTTACAAAAATACAAATAAAGCTTGAAGGGCGTTGAAGTACATCATATAAGGAGGCTTCTCTAATTTTCTTAAAATATTTGCATGAAGTTTTAACTTTTAATAAAAACAGTTTTTTTTTAATAATCGCTAACCCACTGTTGGGGCACAGGCCTTCCCTATGGATGGAATAGGGAGATCGAGCCGTGACCCACCACGCGGGTTCAGTGCGGATTGGTGGGTGCTAACGAATGCATATGCAGCCGGGACCAACGGCTTAACGTGCCTTCCGAAGCACGGAAGAGCTCGAGATAGTAATTTTTAGTCACCCATCCAATAACCGACCACTGCGAAAGTTGTTTAAGTTCAACGATCGCAGCCGAACGCGCTAACCACTTGCGCCATCGAGGTCCTCAAACTACGACTACGACAAACAAACGGACATCTCGGCAATGCATAGTTACATATCAAATGCCGACTTTACGACTACCTACTTTACCGCGAAAGTTCTTCCCATATCCCCCAGCAGTGGGGGCATTAACAGGCTGGTGGTGTAAGTTAGCTATCCTAAAGGAATTAATATAAGCCCAACTTACCCCAACACGCACAAAAGGAGTGCGAACAGATGTGTCTTCGTGGCTGGTTTCACCTCAGTCCTGGTGATGATGTTCATATTGCAACTCTTGCATATATAAGACGAGGGTGCCGAGCCCATGATTCTGACAACATTTATGGGTGCTACGACCACAGGTGTTGCAGTGACGTATGTCGTGCCACTGGGTCCTGGTTGCATCGCTGGCGGGGGGCCTTGATACGGCGGAGGCGGTGGTTGGTTGTTGATGAAGTTCACACTGCTCGGATCCGAAGGCATTGCTGGGAAATGTTATTTCAGTAATCAGAATTCTGTATTTTAATACGTCTAAGGACTCACCTAAGGTATTCAACCTTCAGACAGCAAACAAATATAATTACACCAAACTTTTGACCGGGTATGTTGCTAACATGCTTTGTCTTTTACAGAATGATAATAGAAAGATAGAAAGCCGTAGAGACAAAACTTTGGACAAAGAATCTCGCTATGCTTAGGACCTCGGCTATGGATAAAGCTGTTCTGCTCTATTTACGAACCAACCTTACGGACCCGAAAAGCGTTCGCAAATTTACGATTCTGATAATATTGATTGGTATCGTTTCTATAATTTATAACAATAGGTAAAAAGGTATGGTATCTATTTGTAAGCATTTGCAAATGCAGAAAATACTCTAAAATACATTTACAGCTAAGCTGGGTGGAGCTACTTATTCAGTCATATTCAGGCCTTATTAATCAATTTTATCAAAAATTGCCACACGCCTTATCCAAATTACCAGATAATTGGTATCGATCACACAATACCGGCTTTTGCACAAATTTCGAAATGTTTTTAACAAATTAATATCAATCGCAACTCACATCTCACGTATCGTTTTACCAATAAGCTTATTATGATCATAGAATAGATTACTGTGGATACACGAAAATACATACGTCTAAATAAAACTAGTTTTTACGGGTTAATGCACGAAACTTTATTTATTTATTGACGTTTCGCAGCCTTTTCAGGTCTGCATCGTCAGAATAAAAATTATTAATTTTATTCTGACGATGCAGACCTGAAAAGGCTGCGAAACGTCAATAAATAAATAAAGTTTCGTGCATTAACCCGTAAAAACTAGTTTTATTTAATGAGTGATGTGCGTGAAAACCTAAGAAACAAATACATACGTCTATATATGACGTCCTAATTATAAGCAATGAGGAAACATTACACGCTTGTGTTTGTGCTGCGCTGCGGTTTGTGTGGCTATTTTTTCTTCAAACAACGAGTCCGCAAAATTTTGTTACAGTTCCAAAAGCTAGCCTGGAATTTTGAGCGCTCATCGGGGACTTCCCATTACCAGTGATATAAAACTACTTTTTATGGTGTTTCGTTTCTGTAAGCGAGTAAAGTTTTCAGGGCTCGACGACGTGTAGGGTTGGTTTCAAACCATCAAGGTTAGGATATCTGGAATGGAACATTAATCTACCGCATCAGCTGTCTTTGCAAATAGACGTCATGGAAATGTTTTAAATAGACTGGTGGTAGGACAGCAAAATGGGTGGAACATGTCTGCAGACGCAGGGTGGTAGGTAGAGCTGTAAGATCATGGATTGGAGAGAGAGAGAACCACACGCAGAAACGTAGAGCCCAGTCGGATGCCATCGTTAAATAGATGCAGTCTGCCCGAGATCGGAAGTGGTCTTCACTCGGCAGTGGGAGAATAGTTGTTGAGGAAGAAGAAAAAGAATAGGAAAGTGAGAAAATAAGAATGTTGTGAGCAAGTTTTTAATCATGGTCGACCTTATTTATTACTTGCCTCAGTCTTCAGCCTTGCCTCAAATCACTAAACGCAATATTTCGCTGTAGAATAGGTAAAGGTATTCTGTACAATGCCTAGGTGATATGTAAATGTAATCTAAAGAGGTAGATAAAATATTTCGTACACTGCTTAAACGAGATAGTTAGATCGGGTAGGTATTGTAATGAATCATGAATACATCAATATGTTATACCTATATAAAGCGTCATATTAGTGATCGTTTTAATGCCGATAGGTACCCAAAAAGGTTTTTCGTTTTATAAATAAAATGATTCAGTGTTATGGCTCAGCAGAAACAAATTCCTTGACTTAATATCACTTTTGACTATTCAATTTTAATGAGCTTATTTATCATGACCTGAACTCATACTCAGATTCTGGCATAATTCTCTAAAATTGATAGCTGTTTTTCCTTTTCAATATCTAAAGAACATAATATGAATATCCTATTATCAAATTTAGTGATAGATTAAGAGGATCATTCTAGAAGCAGGCAAACTATGTTTATCTTTATAAAGATCTATTCAATCTTGGGCCTGCTTCTGGCAGAAAGAGGCCGAAATTCTATTATTTCAATGTTGCAAAGTCCAAACGGGTGCATATAGTATAATAGCTCTCGTCTGTGCCCGTAATGAATGATTTGATACATTAATATACATACATTTTTCAGCCATTGTCACCAACACAAATTTAATATCTGACAGTCAAATGTGAAGCAGTTCAATATAAAGTCACTAGAACTCTCTAAATCACAGGTTTGGATGATAGAAACTTCAAAAAGTTACTGCTGAAAACTACGCCCGCTCGTCATCTTTTGCTATCACTTACTAACTGATAACGATAAAACTAACATTTATCTGTAAGATAAGCCTTCCGAACATTAAATACTTGACGCATATACTGAGAACTATGTAGATATCATATATGAAAAATAACGCCTACTTTTTGAAAGGTATAAACCTTTCAAAAAGTGCGTTTGAGAGAGAGAGGGAGAGAGAGAGAGTTTGGGTGAAATTTGACTAATCATATTTTATCAAAACCATACTGTACGCGACGACCGAAGCGAGAGGAAATGAACTTACGACAATATGAGATTGATTTATAAAATGTATCTATGATTTCACATGTATCGGTTGTATACGCATTAAAAATGATCATTCCCTTGCTGTCTTATTAGAATGAGTCGGATATCGCAATAATAGATAGCTTTGCCCATAGTAAACCATTGTAAAATTGATAGTTCAGAGCGATATTCCGTCTCGTTCTCTCCAACAATCTTATAAGAATTTGTCTAAACGATCGCCACGACGCCAAGCGGTGGCGCGGGGAAACTAGTTAGAATATTGATAGTTCCGACCTATAGGAGAAACAGAGACGATAGGCTGTCCTTTTCTCACATCTTATAAGATTTTGCCTGAGTTGATAGTTTTCGATAATAGTATGTTTTATGTTTTGATTGATTTATTTTATGTCTTACTAGTGTCCCGCCCTCGCTTCGCTTCGGTGTAGAGCTGTAGTGTAAACTATAGTTTTTGTTCTCAGGCTTGTGCTATGAATAATGACTTTATTTATATAATTACACGTGTTATTGTGAGTCAACTATAAAAGATAGACATACGCTGCTGCGGGATATTTTTTAGACAATTTTATGTAGAATATTTCCGTCATACATGACTTCTATGTAACTTTAACCATTAAGGCTGCACACGCGACGGAAGCTTAAAAAATGGAGTAACTTCTCCCGTTTTCCCAACATTTCTCTTCACTACTCTGTTCCTATTGATTGTAGCGTAATGAAAAGTATACTATAACCTGCCCAGGAGTATGAAGAATAATTGTACCAAGTTTCGTTAAAATCCGTCGAGTAGTTTTTGTTTCTATAAGGAACAAACACACAGACAGACAGACAGACAGACAGACAAAAATTTTACTGATTGCATTTTTGGCATCAGTATCGATCACTAATCACCCCCTGATAGTTATTTTGAAAATATATTTCATGTACAGAATTGACCTCTCTACAGATTTATTATAAGTATAGATTAGAAAATAGGTAGTTATAAGAGTAATATATCAAAGTTTTGTGTAAATCGCATTAGTAGTTTAGGCGTAATTAAGGAAAATATTGGAAATAGTTTTTTACGAATAGTCGATAGGATAAAGGTATAATTGTAATGATAATGATGTTGTTTTGTGTGTTTTTATTTCCTCTATAAAATGATATATGATAGTTAGGCATTAAGTGAATGTAAGTAGGTTTTTTAAGACTTTTTAATTTGTAATCTTTATAGGGCCGTAGAGCTGTTGTTTGTTGATATTCTTATTAGAAACTTATTGTATTAGGTAGATAACGCATAGGACTACATAAATAAATAGGCATCACATCAATAAATGTAGAAATGTACCGTGTAGGAGACAAAATCTGTTTGTATAGAACGGTTTTCTAAGACATGTTGCGCTCCCCACCCGGCGCGCCAGGAGCGCGCGGGTGGGGCAGCGGAGCCCCGTGGCAGGGCGAAGCCCTATGGAGGGGGAAAGTATAAATATTGCGGAGACCTATTTTTTGCGCGCCACACCTAAAATATCATGCTTACGGACACATAACTGTGTTAAAAATATGCCTATATGTATGCCCGATGTATGTACAATTAGTTTTAAGCTTGCACTAATGTAATTTTTGAGAAAATGAAAAATAAAGTATAGCGGGGGTGAGGTAATGGATCGCTGGCCAGCTCAGTCCTAGCATATAAAATTCGAGTCGGAACATGCTCCGACATGCATTCAGCGACAGGCGCTCCTACCCTAAGGAACAGGAAGAAACACCAAGCGGTTCACTCTGGACCTGAAGCCTCCTCTCACCGGCCATCCATTATCAGCGCCCACCGATTTCTTCAATACCGAACACCAGGGGTTTTATTCGCCGAAACTACAGTCCATTACAGTCAAGACTCCTGCGTGTAACTTCCTCCACCCCTCAGTACGAGTCGGTAACTGTCCGCTACTGCGACAGCCCGGCGTCCCGTACACATACTTAATAACATCCGGTGGGGTTTACACATTTATTAGGCGATTTGGTACTAAAAATATTTGAGATATCGATTCAATTTAAATTCAGAAATTTTTTATCGTTATTTGAATCATGTGATATAAAAAGATCTTAAGAATTATAGATACATAGAGTCAAAATATGATGGAACTGAAAAAAATTAAAGTTTCAATAATTGAAATTATAACTAAAAAATTGAACAAGCCTGAAAACAAAAACTAAAGTCTACGCCGCAGTAAAAAGAGGGCGGGCCACTAGTCGAAAAAAATGGCAGTTTACGTAGTCACATAATACTAAAATAAGTAATAAGTACACTGAGATCATATACCATCAATAAGTATCGTATAATTTCGAAATTCCAACATAAAATAACACGAAACCTAAACATCATACAAGTATTCCCGTGTATACAAGTATCAAGTCCCTATGGTTGAAATTGTATAATGTGAATTTATTGTTGGTGTATTTTATTGTTTAACCCGTTTCAGTGATCTAACCTAGCAATTAAATTTAACGCAGTTTATATTATACAGTGTTTATCTTTGTAATATACCATATATTTTCTGATAATATTTAATAATATTTTCTTAATATATTTTCTAAATGAGGAGCACGATGGCGAAGGTGGTTAGCGCGTTCGGCTGCGATCGTTGAACTTAAGCAACTTTCGCAGTGGTCGGTTATTGGATGGGTCACCAAAAATTACTATCTCGAGCTCTTCCGTGCTTCGGAAGGCACGTTAAGCCGTTGGTCCCGGCTGCATATGCAGTCGTTAGCACCCACCAATCCGCACTGGGCCCGCGTGGTGGGTCATGTCCCAATCTCCCTATTCCATCCATAGGGAAGGCCTGTGCCCCAGCAGTGGGGACATTAATAGGCTGATGATGATGATGATATTTTCTAAATAAGATTGAATAAAAAACATACACTCGAACCCGCACCCTCCGCTATCCGGGCGGGTGCACTGAACATTATGTTACCGCGGCTCTAATTGTCTGTGTCGCATTTTCTCTAGTATTTATTAGGCAGCAAGGCTTAATTTTATGTTAGACACGTAAAACTCTTTGTCCCTTCTGCTTAAACAATCGTTAGTCATTCTCGTTATCGTTGGTCACAGTTAATCTTTCTTCTCACTTCCTTCCTATTTCATATATGGGGAATGCTTGTGCCCATTGGTGGGAATATTAATAGGCTGATAATGACCTTTATTCCCAGTAGCTACATGTAGATAGTTCCTCATGAAACTACCGAAAAGGTGACAAAACAATATTTTGTACCATTATTTCCATGTCATTTTAAACTAGTTTTGTAGCTGATATTTCGTATATATTATGGAACTACTACAACTATTTGGTCCCATAGATAAAAACCACGGGGAAGGCTTGTGCCCTAATAATGAGAACACAGCTATATTAATTAATATAAACCTATGTAAATAAACAGCAGGAATAAGAGACAACTTTGTTATTATGAAAGTGAAATTAGTGCATTTTGTAATTTTAACTAAATCTCGATTCGGCTAAAACTATTTAGCCACAAGTATGTAAAATTTTAAAATCTAGATTTAACATATTTACATAATTGTATGGATTTAATCTAATTTTAGTGTAATCAAGATTTAGAACATTGGCTGAGTTTGAACTGTAATTCTTTTTATTTTTTAAATTAATATAGGTACCTACTTATTAGCTACATGATTCATTATCTTTGGATATTGAGTCAGTACTGGCGTACTGAAATTACTATCTTGATCCGCAATGTTATCACTTCCTTTCTAACACAAATAAACTTAGTACACAGGTTTATTATAAAATTTATTTACTTTATCAACAATAAGTACTTACAGTATCAAAATACAGGAAAGTAAAAATATCTACTATTTATGTCTTTATATGAAGATTAAGACGAAGCTTAAGAGTGAGTGGTGTATGGCAGATGTTTCATAAGAAGTTATGCAATCTTTTACTTCATATATTGTGGCGATAATTTTTTCATGTATGTTTTACCTAGGGTCTGTGCGGAAAGAAAATGGGATTTAGATTGGAGGGCGCTGTAGTGCTTTTCTACCGTATTTGTAAGGTTTTACCCCTTTTAGACATTATTAAATACAAAAAACCGCAAGAAATCACAATAACAAACAAATCCGTATCAATACAAAACTTTGACGTTTTACAGATTGCTGGGTTTGTTTGCCAAATAAAAATCTTAATGTTAGTTCCGTTTTTCGCCACGCCCATTCTCTTTCCGCACAGACTCTAGCTTTCTTTTATAGATAGGTCCGACACAAAATGTCTCCGCTCCACCTGAGGTGAAATCCAGACGTGAAGTTTGAATGTTTGTTACTTAATCACACAAGACCCGCAGATCATCTAAAAAGATTTAGATGAAATTCAGTAAGCATATACTTTTTCATCTGCATTGAGTCACAGGATACTTTTATCCCGGAAATATGTTAGGTTTCTGTGGGATTCTCAAAAAACTAATGTTAAAGCGGACTAAGCCGCCGGCAGTCGCTAATTTAAAATATAATTATCTGTTCTGTTCGTTTAGGATCCTGACAAACACATCTCAAAATATCCATGAAGGAATAATCATATATCCCAATTAGGTATGAAATTGGTATTCTATCTGTTTACTTTTAATTTGGTAATAAACTTTATTTTTATTTCATAAATGCCAGACAAAATATACTTATAATAAAATTGGCTTAACCTAAGGTAACGCTGCCTGGTTTAATTTACTTATAGTTTGACCCATAGAATAATTCCTAAGATTTTTTATGACATAATTGACAATAAAATATATACAAAAGTTAGAATACAGCATACCTATACTAATTTTAAAATATAGTAGTTAATTATATCGTATTAAAGGCGCATCCAGGTGCACAGCTACTCTTCACAAGGTCTTGGTTTCCAAGCTATTACTAAGAAAGACCAAGATTCGGATCTACAACACAGTGATTACACCGATCTTGATGTATGGTTGTGAGGCTTGGACGCTAACCCTTAGAGAGGAGAATAAGTTGCTGGTCGCCGAAAGAAGGATTCTGCGAAAGATCCTGGGGCCGACTCAAAGAGAGGATGGCAGCTGGAGAGTGCGGACGAACATCGAGCTGGAAAATCTAGTGTCTGAGCCCAACATCATAGGAGTAATTATAGCAGCTAGACTTCGCTGACTCGGGCATGTAGAGAGAATGGGCGAGCATCGAGCCGTGAAAAGGGCGTATTTGGGGTGACCGATAGGACGACGGCCCGTTGGACGGCCCAGATACCGCTGGAGCGACAGTGTGCAGAGGGACTTGCAGTCTTTGGGTGCCGACGGTTGGTGGGACCTAGCCTGGGATCGCAGAGCATGGCGTCATCTTGTGTCGGAGGCCAAGATCCACTTTGGATCTTTGCGCCGCAGCAGTAAGTAAGTAAGTAGTTAATTAAAAAAATTTAATGAAAAAAAAAACGTTATTGATATTAGGAGAAAAAAATATATAATTTATTCAGATAATGTAGCAAATAGTCTGCCTATAACCGTATTAGTGATTTCGGTATTAAAACTATAAATACCGAAGAAGAACTATTAATAGTAAAACTAGTACTAAAAACTGCCAAAACTTTCAGTATATTGCGCTAAAATACTGAAAGTAAGTATATAGTAATGTCATTGAATATAGAAAAAATAAGAATAATAAAATATTTTGCATAAAAACGGAATAAACGATCTAATATAGGTATAATACAAAAATCAATACATATAGTAATAAAATTCTATTGGCATACAAAGACTGATTCAAAAAAAGACCGTGGAAACACAGGTTCCTATAAATCGCATATTCAGTCTTAAGATACATATATCACATCATACATATATTCCATCACGTCTTTTCTGAGCGAAAAGTAACAATAATCTTATTTTTCAACAAAGATTCAAACTGTTATATCTGTTTTAGTGACAGGTATGTTTAATAAATGATTTTTTATTTCAATCATAAACCTGCTTTATTTTTACGTCTAAAGATTTTGTTTTATTGGAAAAAAACTTTAGATTTATAGGAATGCTTATGAAACAAACAAGGTATTAAATAAGCTCAATGATGTAAACAAAACATGTGGTTATGCTCCATACCTACACATCGGGTGCATTTTTTCACTCTGATGTTAAAATATATGAAACTTATGTCAAATTTTACATAAGTTGCAGCAGGGGCGTAGATACAGAACGCAACCCTGCGAAACTGTTTCAAGCTTTTCATTTATTTATTAAGTGGGTTAAAATGTAGCTATATATTGATATACATGCGAAGGGTTGGTATCATCACTTTCATTATTATAGTAATAGTGGGGGAGTCTAAGCGGGGATTTTTGGATTTACTTGAGCGCGGCAGAATCATATAAGAGGGGCAACCTTGCACGTTGTGAAGAATACCACCATTCCTGAGTTCACTATGAAGGACCGAAAATCTAGGGCAGCAAAAGAAAATTAAACAAACGGCCGTTCATAAACGTTACGTGAACCCTCCATTAGTTTCTTTTCAAAAGATAACGATTTGGACGCGACCAAAAGTCGTGGTTGTTTTTTGAAATTTATTTTTGTTGCCCTAGATAATGGGCCCTACATAGAGGACTCAGGTATGGTGGAAGATACTTCACAAGGTGATAGGTTAGGGGTGCAACCTTGTGACTTTATGTTATTCTGCCGCACTCGAGTAAATCCAAAAAATTCCGCTTTGTCTCCTCCACTGAAATAATTCCGCTACTCAATATGAGTACGTACGTCGAAAGTGATAAGTATTTGAATCTTTATTTTACACGCTTTTGGTCATCAATAAGCTCACTAATAGTTAAATTAAAACTTATAGGAGCCAATGTATGCGTTACAGTGAGGGCAGTAGTGATCGGCATCATTGCATGAATCCACACAGTATGGCACACACATGCACGGCCAGAACCTGAAATAACAAAATATGTTCCTATTTAAAACCTTTTAAAACTTTAAAAAAAGAAATTGGACTTTCTGCAGTATGCAACTTTTATAAAAAGTAGGCAGGCCTACTAGATTTTTATGCTACGTAACGGTACCAGATAATCCTTACTTCTTACTGAAGGTTAATTATTGAAACTAAGCGTTAGTGTATTGACAATCAGTTCATTTGATTTCCACAATATGGCGAGACTTTTCATTCAAAACTCTGTCGTTTACAAGTTTCTAAATTTGTCCTGTCCCTCGATTAATTCATTACTATCCACACTGAACATAAGAGCGGCTGGATAGCAAAGGCAGGTACCGTGTTGATTCCAAAATTATGAAAAATAAAAATAAGCAAACGAATTCTTGTTTAATTTCACTGGCAAACTAAAGTTGCTTTTCGTTTGGATTTGTTTTCCACGTCTCTCTGGCGACGTCAGTGTCATTAAGGATGAAACACAAACAAACACACTTGGTACTAAGGTGGAAAGAATATAAAATATCTTCAGAACACTAGCCATAAGGTTCTAAAACAAATACCTAGAGTCTTTGTTACAAAATAAGGTTACTAGAGCTCCACCTCTGGAGTTAGAAGCCTCTACAGGCTACGGAACTTAACATATGGGCCTTTAAGTCCAGAGGTAGCCTTCTTTCCTTTTTCGCCTCCTTTGTCTTTGCTACTCTCGTGGGATGAAAAGTATAGTAATACTTACAGTAACAGACACAGTAACGCCATTAGATGTGTTCTACATGAAGGCGATCGATCAACTCTTGTGACTATTTGGTTGAGGCAGGACGGGCAAGTCATGAGAGTGGGCGATGATCCCACTAAGCCAGGCTGAACCGTGACAGTCTGTACTGAGTACACCACCGGCATTGGCTGGACTATAGTAGGCTGCACTATTGTGGGGTGATGCACCATCGCTGGGTCTGATTGCGCCGAGTACGGAGGAGGCTCTGGAATCAATAAGACCAATTTTACGTAACTGTAGGGATGATGATTAACTTTCTTTTCTTCGTCTATCAGGTACATTATCAAAAAGTATTGGACACGTATGTCACGCGACGTCGCGTTTCCATACTGTTAATTAGTTAATTTTTACTAAGAAGTGACGTCATGAGCTTCCACTCCCAAACTTGGACGCTCTTTATCTTAATCTTTGTAATTTTATGGTTGATTGACAAAAGAAAAAAAATCCATAGTGAAAATAATATGATTTTGTCCCATTCGGTGTCGAGACCCTTGGTCCGTGGAGTCTTAGTGCTATAAGGATTTTTAAGGAAATAGCAAAAAGGTTAGTCGACATCACAGGAGACCGAAGAGGTAGCAGCTACAGGACAAAGAATTAGTCTCACTATTCAAAGGGGGAACGCTGCCAGTATCTTCGAAACCTTTCCTAAAGGGACTCCTTTTAATAATATATTTAAGTTATTATATTTAATTTTTTATGGTTTTTAGGTTCATTGTTATAGTATATTTTTTTTTGTTTTAAACTAGTATTAGATAAGAGCATATTAATATTTTTCATTATTTTATAATAAATGTAACTCACGGACTAAGTAGAATTTCATTTACTTTATCCCGTCATCATCCCTATTGTCTGTACTTACCAATCCACTCTTGGCCTGTATGTTGGGTCATGGCCGTTCTAGCAGCTCCATCCTTAGGGAAGACTTATAACACAGTGGGGAAATTAAATAGACTTTGTGGGCAACCTCACCTGCTTTAAAAGTACATACCATAAAATGGGGTGAATAACAACAATATTTCAAATTTAAACTTTATTATCATCCACATTATGTGTTGCGGTGTCGCATCTTTGAAGTAATATTGTGTAAAGATGAGTAAGAGTCTTTTCATTGATTTTATTGACACCAGAAGGAGTTCTTACTGAAATAAAATGCTTCATTCATTGAAATATGGCTTGTTGCAAATTACATTTTGTGTGGGGTCATAAGCAACGATATATGGGGCGAAATACAACAACTTATTTATTTAGTTATAAAAAACAACAAAATATAGATATAAAACATTATTATTATTATTATTTCTATCTTAGTGTGTTCAATTATTCTTTTTGGAACAAAATAACACAATAAAATAATCTTATTATCTTTCATTGTTGTGAATAACCCCATCGTTAATCATCCTATTAGTCGTTGTGAATCGACCCTTAGGTCATTGTTATTCGCCCTATTTTGACTACAAATTCTAACCTAATTTTTTTAATACACATGGCATTTAAATAATTTGAAATAACGCATACGTTTTTGTTGTCTTTTTCGTAAAAACAATAAATCTACCAAAATAAGACTAAAAAGAACTAGATGTTGAAGTCTTAGGCATTAATAATAATTGCAAAGATTTTCCACCTAACTTTTCGTCCTAAACAAGTTGTTTTTTTGAAAGCTGAAGTAACGTTAAATGAAGCATCTGTCAAAACAAAATGTTGCTAATACAAAAATAAATATTTAAAAAACCTAGAAAAACATTTCTTTCAATAAATACCGCTTATCAACACATTTAGGAGGTCTGCACTGTATTTTTTTTTTAAAATGTTCCTATCCACCCCGCAGTTGTTAGACACCCCAGATTACGGTAAGATTTATTTATATTCCTTCAAGTAGCGATTTAATACCAATAATAAAATTCTATTGAAACACAAAATCCTTATCGGGTAAAAGTGATTAAGGACACTTTATCGGCAAAGGTGATTATGTATGACATGCAGTTATATTGTTGAATTCGTTCATTTTGATTTCTTTAGAATTTCGAGAACTGAAATTTGAGAAACTTAATTTAACCTTCTGCTACAGCGAAAGTAGCACTTTCGCTGAATGCATATCACAATAAAAAACAAAAAAAATATGCAGATTTTAGTAAAAAATACAATATATACAAATAGATTGTAATAGCTTGCATAAAAATATAAAACATGTCTTTTTTTTTGAAATTTCACGAGGTAGATTTCCAGTTGTAGCAGGCGATTTTAAAAAAATCTGTGAATGCAGTTCTTATTATTATTAAAAATAAAACGATGTGTTCTATCAGAAAAATAACCTATCTTCAATATTTAGTATACCTTCCCTCCGTGTGAGGTAGCCGTGGGACCCTGTACATTCAAAGAATAATATGTAGGGTTTGCATTTAGATTTTACGACGATATCTTCACAAGAGTTTAATAGAATTACTTTTCACCAATTATATTATTAAGATAGTTTATCTACACACGCCATTGAAACGTCATTTTTGCGATAACGTATCAATTTAGTTGTTCTAAGAATAAATATCACGATTCCATAGCGCATGTCCAAAAACGCCATAAAGAATAAGTCAATGGAACTCTAGCATTAAACTGTTCAAAGTTTATCTAAGTTAAGTGAAAACCAATACTTACGTTCACGATTTGGCTGCATTGTGTGAAGTAAACTACAATTCCAATAGGAAAAAACAACGAACAAAGTATCACTGGTAATATGAGTGGGCACTGACTGAAAGTAACACCTGACAGATACTGAAAATGTAGCGATAACACAATATCGACGCTGCTTGCTGATATTAAAATCTATATTATCGTCGGCATACCGCATTCATTAGTTAATTAGTACGCTCCACTGAATAAAGTAAACAAAAGAATGAAGATTTCATTGTGATCGGTTGAAAATGATAATATTGAACAAATGACTATTGAGAATTTAAAGTTTATCCTATATGAGAGCTTTTCATCATGACGTCATTAACGCGATGACATCACAAAAATACGTTTTTACGCTCATTGTCTAGTATAGAGACGAATACACGACGTTGAATCTAATTTGACACTAACAACGCGATTCATCACTATGAAGCTACAATCACTGCGAAAAAACGCGCAAGTAGATTGCAATTAGGAATTAGTACTCGCAATTGCAATCCATCCAATGTCATGCGTGTTCGAGTCTAAAAATAACGAGGTATTCGTTCATATTAATTCTATCTATTCATATAATCTACTCGAGGAACTTGATAGTCATTAGTTAGCGCATTCGGTCTGTCATTGTGTGAGTTAAGCCACTTTCACAATGTTATAGGATGGATGGGTGACCAAGATTTACTATCTCGAGCTCCTCTGTACTTCGGCAGATGCAACCGGATCTACTCTGATTCCGCGTGGTGGTTCGTAGCTCATTCCACTCATTTTTCCTATTCCATCCACGGGGAAGACATGTGCCGCAGCTGTGAGAACAGTAATAGCACAATATAGATGGTACAATGAAATCACAATTAAGTACTTTAATTTTCATACCTACGCTCGGCGGTCACGCTAGGATTATCAACTTTGACGCGGTGAAGTCCCTCAACGGAGATCCCACAGTTCCGCACTTCACAGCGTAGAGGGTATTCGCATTCGAGGTTTTTTAGCGGATAGTAGCGCTCGTAAGCCGCGCAGACTGCATAACGGCTTCTCCGTTTCGCACCCGTGTGACTTGCGAGAGGCTAGGTGTGAGGTTCGTTCGTTGGTGTGCCCCTTAAGGGCGCCAACATCTGTCAATAGAGGTTTTGCCTGCGTAATAAAAAAGGGGGTTGTTCAGGCACGGTATTTCTTATTATGTGGGTAAACCACAAATCCACGACTCAACGGTAACGGGCGCTGCTGTCACTGGCGCATTACCTCACGGCGGCGCGAGCGCACACAAGAGTTGCTGGACTATATTTCGGAATATCGATTTTCGGTGGATTATCATTAATAGTTATAAGTGAACTGCTTAAGTTGTCTCGTATATCAAATAATATTGGTGGAACAGCTGTATTTGAAATTGGTGCACAATAAGGACTCTGAGTGGGTGACCACGTGGACACGTAACGCTTCCAGCACGAGCTCATACTGGCGATGTCAAGGTGAGTGGTTTACTTCGTAGTGGGGAATCCTGTGCCTGAATTTTACCATTAGAAGCGGTAGGATCAGCCACCAAATTAACTTGTTCTCGTGGGCTATCGAAGGGGTTCTCGCGAACATAATAATTTTGGTCCTTCGAGCCGGATCATTGCTTCATATCGTTTTTGGTAAAACCACGGTAATATTTGGAATATATTCGGTATCGGTATTTAGTTTATTCACTTATTTTTAGCATTCGGTTATCGGATCGATTTGTGAGTCAGCTTAGCATTTCACTATTTCAAAATGGCTTCCAATAAGGTAACGGAAAATAAATTTAAAATACAGTGCGATTGGTTTGTAAATACTAATGACATCGTTGTTAATAAAAGTCAAACAACAGGAGTAATATCGGCTCGGTTACGTAAAATTGATGAAAGGTACAAGTTGTTAAGCGAGGCATACGAAGCATTATTGAATACTCTAACGGATGAAAAAACTGTCATTTCGTATGACGCTCAATTTAAAAACACGGAAGAAATTTATTATCAGTTGGAGGCTATTTCATCAGCTTATCCGAACTTACGACGGCACTCATCAACCGACGGAAAGTGCTCAAAATGCTCGATTACCTGCGATTAATCTTAATGTGTTTGATGGAGAATTATTTAGTTGGACCAGTTTCATTAGTTTGTTTAACTCTTTGGTAATGAGTAGAAAAGATATCTCTAAAACAGAAAAATTCCATTATTTATTTTCTAATGTCCAAAAGGAACCTCGCGATTTGATCAAACATTTGCCAATGGTTGATGAATCGTTAGACATGGCAATGGATATTCTTAAAAGTAGATATGAAAACAAAAGATTACTGTCAGATTCTCATATATCTCGTATTTTGAATTTGCCATGCTTGAATAATACTTCGGTTCTTAGGACAAAAATACTTAACCCTTTATTAGAATCTACACGCGCATTGAATAATCTCGGTTTTCCCATAAATGATTGGAGTTATATATTATTGTATATTAGTCTTACAAAACTTCCCTTAGATTTAAAGTCACGGTTTGAACATAAATACGGCGGAAATACTGCAGCTTTACCCTGTTTCAAACAAGTAATTGATTTTTTGCAAAATGAATGTCGATTATTAGACACGGCGACATCAGACTTAATAAATAATAATAATAATTCGGACCGGAGCGCAGGCGGACGCCGTGCGCAAGCACAACGTACTAGTCTCATCAACAATAATATTGCAACGAAACGCTGTTCATATTGTCAGTTCACGGGTCACAACTTGTGTGAATGTTTTAAATTTCAAAAATTGGCTAATGATCGTAAGAATTTTGTTAAGGATTCTCGCTTATGTTTTAAATGTTTTGGAGAACATAATGCTGGTTCGTGTAATTATAAAGTCCCATGTAATAGATGTGGTAATATCGGTCACAATAAGTTAATTTGTACGATGAATATTTCGAGTCAACAATCTCCTGCGCGTCAACCAATTGTCGCTAGCACCCCAGTTGAGAGTGACTATCACTTAACAAACCGGTTTCCTACAGCGGCATCGGCAGGTAGGAGCGGACGGGCCGCTAGTCCACGCGAGATGCTTACGCGTGAGGTACCATTGCGCGGTGAATCATTGAGCCGTGCGCAGGCTTATTACGATCCTTCTATATCACGTTATCGGCAAAATATTGATAACAACAATGACGCGACCGATCCCAGCAGGTCATATCACGGGCCGCAAGACACACGGAATGCGAGTCGTAGGGACACGCGACTTCAACGTAATAACTCGGAATAGCAATTACAGTTATGTAATGTCGCTCCGCCACCTAAATTAATAAATAATGTTATTTTACCTTCGGTTATAATTGAGATCAAAACATCGCAAAATTCTTTTGTACAGGCTCGAGCTTTACTCGATCTCGGTTCTCAAATAACTATAATTAGAAGTGCTTTGGTGACAACTTTAGGATTAAAGCGACATTACTCAAATGTACCCATTGTAGGCATAGGCGGTGTAGGCACACAAATGAAAATAATAGTATAGTTAAAATACACTTTCGGCCAATTAATTCAAAATTGCTTTTACTCTCGGTTACGGCGGTTGTTTTAAAGAAACCTACTTCTTATTTTGCTCGTAAATTAAATATTTCAAATACAAACATAAACATTTCGGACGACGGTTTTTCTCATATGAGACATCTTTATATATATAATTCTTCTGTGAGTGTGTATGTCACTGAACTTCTCTTAAACGACTGGACTGATTTTGATGAAATTTTTTGTGTGTGTTCAAGGGGATCTGAGAATGGTTTAGATTCACAATTTTGTTCGCTGGACAACCCCTATTTTTTTAGGGCGGTACGAAGTTCGCTGAGTCAGCTAGTATAGATATAATCTTCGGTTGTGATATTTTGGGACAGATTTTAAACGGTGAGAAATTAGATTTAGGAGCAGGTGGGCCTTACGCCTTAAGTACTATTTTTGATTTTGCAGTTTTCGGGCCAAGTCAGGAAATTAACTCGGATTATACAATGAAATTTGCTTCTAATGTTTCGGCTGTTCAGTTGTTGGAAGCGGTTGAAAGGTTTTGGCGTTAGAACAACCACCTCAAAACAAATTTATTAGTCCAGCGGACATTGAATGTGAACGATTATTCTGTTCTAGCACTACACGCGGGACCGATGGGAAATATACGGTTCCTTTACCGCTCATACCTGATCATCAGCCCTTGGGTGATTCTAGGCAGACCGCTTTAAAGATATTTTTTGCTATAGAAAGACGGATGCAACGTGACTCGGAGTTTAGATCTAAATATGTAGAATTTATGGCGGAGTATATTAACTTAGGACATATGACGGTTTTAAAATTTAATTCGGAAGATGAACATTATTTTTTGGCTCATCATGGGGTATTTAATTAATCGGGTGATGTAAGTAAAATTCGGGTAGTCTTTGATGGTAGTGTTCCTAGTAGTACAGGAGTGTGTTTAAATGATTGTTTGTATACGGGTGAAAAATTACAAAAGGATATAACGGATATATTATTAAACTTTCGTTGGCCACTCATAGTATTTACTACTGACGTACGTATGATGTTTCGACAAACTTGGATACATACGGATGATCGTAGATATCAGCTTATTTTCTAGCGACCTTCGCCTACGGAACCCTTACAAATATATGAATTAACTACTAACACGTACGGGTTAAAATGTAGTCCTTATGTGGCTATTCGGTGTTTGCATCAACTCGCTCAGGTCAACCAAGTAAAGTTTCCATCGGCGGCAAATCTTTTATTAAACAGTAGTTACGTGGATGATCTCAATGGGGGTGCGGACACACTCTCTGATGCCATTGCATTACGCGATGACTTGATAGCACTTATGAACACGGCTGGTTATGAATTGCGGAAGTGGTCTTACAATGTTCCGGAACTATTGAACTGTTTGCCGTCCACTCACTTAGAGGTACCCAAAAGCTTCGACTTTTTTAATGATTCCGAACTTATTAAAGTTTTGGGTGTATTATGGGATCCAATTTCGGATAGTTTTACTTATCACGTCAATTTGACTACGGATTCTACTGTCACGTGTCGTAGTATACTTTCGTTATCGGCTCGTTTGTACGATCCCCAAGGATGGATTTGTCCGGTTATTTTCAAAATTAAAATTCTTTTACAACAGTTACTCGGCACTAGTGACAACTGTAATAAAATAAATTGGGACGCTCCTGTTTCGGACGATATTAAACGGCAATGGGATACGATTATTTCGGACTTACCTAACTTATGTAAATTACGGGTACCAAGATGTTTAAAGGTTTTTGGAAACGGATTAGCTCGGTATACTCTTCATGGTTTTTGCGATGGCAGCTCTTTGGGCTACGCCGCAGCGGTTTATATTCGGTCGGAGTTACCGGACGGACAGGTTCTCGTGCGACTACTTGTATCCAAATCTAGAGTAGCTTCACTGCGGAAAGCATTGACCATTCCGAAGACGGAATTAGAAGGTGCCTTGCTCCTAACTAAACTATTCAATCATGTCGTCTCCTCCATGAGAGACAACATTGTA